GCTTGTATTTCTTGAGATTTACTGTTTGGAAGTTTCATTTCTGTCAGAGTGTCATGGTAAATAGAGGAATGTATCGCTATAGCAATGTTCTTGTGTTTGTGCTAACAGTGAGACCCTTTAGGGATAAATGAGGTACGAACTTGTACCTTTTGAAAGGTTACCGTCCCAGTGACAGGTTTTGTAACTTTTTTTTTTCTTCTGAGAGTGTATGGGAAAAACCATTGTACTCCTTGAAGCAGTACTGTGTGTAAATACCATGGTATATGAATATGCTAATCATTCAGGAGTGAGGGAGACCTGGGCTGGTCATACACAAAGATTATACAGATTATTATAAAGATTATTAACTATATTCTCAAGTCAACTATATTCTCAAACCACACATTGTAAATGTCTGGTCAGGGCTGTCAAATGTGTTTTGTGTGATGTTTTTGAGCATCAAATCAGCATATTAAAATGATTTCTGAAGGATCATGTGACACTGAAGACTGGAGTAATGATTGCTGAAAATTCAGCTCACCATCACAAGAATAATTTACATTTGAAAATATATAAAAATAGAAAAGTTCCTTTAAATTGAAATACAATTTTACAATATTACTGTTTTTGCAGTATTTTGGATTAAATAAATTAACATTACTAAATTAAACATTACTATAAATTAACCTACATTAAATGAAACTATCAATTAAACATTACTATGTTTTAATTAAAAAAGGCAGTAAATAGTCTACAATAGGTTGTGGCAATTTACCCCATATACAGTAATTTGACAATACAACACACTATTGGGGCATGTTGTCCCAACTTGTGTAAATGAATATTATTTTTGTAGCCAGTATATAAAGTTATATGTCTAGTAGTCATTGGAATAAAAAGTGTGACGACTTGCCCCTGTCTCTTCAAAAGAGATACAATCTGATACAATAGTAGTGCTATAGTACTTTTTATAAATTATGTCTGAAAACCTCAACTGATGTCACAATTAATTTTTTTATATGTACTGAGTCATCAGTTGATACCAACAATATCACAGTGGCATTGTTCAGATGTGTTTAGTTCAGACGTGCTCCGGGCTCATTTGCCGTGATCACTTAGGATGGTTTCTCTGATCAATGTAGGAAATGGACCCATTACGCCCATAATTAACGGACAGTGCCACAGAGAACCTTTCCTGGTTTTTGTTTTTGTGCAAATGCATTTTTATTTCTCAAACATCCGTCTTCCTTTTTCATTTATCAGAGTCTATAATTAATGGCCTTTGCTGAAACTTGGCACAGGCAGGTATATGTTTCTCCCTCACTGTTGGAAGCTCTTATTCATTATTATGCAGCTGCAATTAATCCCTGTATTTCCGAGTCAATGCGTGGCCTGTCATTAGCTCACCATGGGTTAGGCTACAGCGAGACTCACAACTGGGCAGAAATAAAGTGGATGGACTTGGACCAGTTGCATCAGAATGGAGGTGTGACAAAAATATCTTCTCACAGTACCAAGGGATACTGATAGCCTATTGAAGGCCTATGTGTTTATACATTTTTTTTAAATTTTGTTGATCTGTCAAATTGTGAATAAGATCTCTTTAATAGCTCAGTTGTTTCTTCTGGACAGCAGTGAGATTAAACGGAGAGGTAATGGAGCCTCTCTGGAAGTCTTCTGCATTTTAGATTTTTCTTTTGAGGAAGAAAGAGAGAGTAGATCGCAATGTCTCAGACTGTGCTCAGATTTGCCTGGATACCCAAGTCTGCAATCAAAATCAGAGATCTCAATATGAATTCAAACTATATATATCAGACAAAGTTGATACTTCAATGAAATGTATTTGAAAAGTCTTTTAAGTGAATGAAGGCGCAACCTCTGAGAATTAAAATTTACATATACAGCCACATCACTGAGATAATAATATCCACATTTAAACAGGATTTGGTCTTTTTCCCGTTCACCAAAGGCTAGCATCATACTATATTTCACCCTTATTAGTGTTTGAGATGATGTTGGATGTGGGCCACTGTGGTAAATATAGTCTAAACACAAACACCCCTGCATCCTGCTGCAACTGTCAACAGCTGCCCCATTTTCAGCTGGGGTTTAATAAGATGCCACACCGCTTTTGCGTAGATTTGCATGATGAATCACAGAGCTTGGAGCACAGGATCAGTTTGTATTTTTCAGTCACTTTGTTTTATTTGGCCAGTCTTAATAATTTATGCCCTGTCAGCTCTGGCTTCATGGTGTCGATGTGTTGAAGGAGGCGAATAATTAGATCTGGACCCCAAACAAGGTGCACTGAAAAGGAAACTGAAAATGTATTTTATTTTAGACTATAAATAGCCTATACTATTCCAACAGTAGAATCTATAGAGAGTCTGCAAGGAAAACTAGGCCATCTTAATCAAAATATAGATAATGCTTTGCACCAATGTTTGATTCCTCAAACTGATGCTACTAGAGATCAAAGCACATATGGATCAAATCTGTGGAGTCAGAGTCACTATGGTGAGCTAACTAGTACTCTCTGATCATGTGGTTGTCTTCACATAGTATCACATGGTAATGACCTGTTTTTTTGTGATCCAGTTAGTGACAAATGAGATTAGTTACCAGAGAATCCACCAGTGTGCTGTGTGAATCATGCTGAGAGCAGACTTTCTCTGGACTAGATATGTCTGACGAGATGATCAGAGGTATTCAAACTGTGGTCCGGGGTGTGCTAAGCAGTCTATGGAAAATTTAATTGGAAAAAAACCCCTAAAGATTTTACAAAATGTCTTTTTCTTAGCTGTCAACGTTAAAAGAGCAGGTCACCCAAAAATGAAAATTTGCTTGAAATTTACTCACCATTAGGCCATCCAAGATATATAGATGTGTTTATTTCTTCATCGGAACAGATTTGGATAAATTTAGCATTACATAATTTGCTCACCAATGGATCCTCTGCAGTGAATGGGTGCCATCAGAATGAGACTCCAAACAGCTGATTAATACTTCACAATAATCCATGAATAAACCATAAGACTCCAGTTCATGAATTAATGTCTTGTGAAGCGAAAAGCTGTGTGTTTGTAAGAAACAAATCCATCAAGGCATTTTGAACATCGGACTATTGCTTCCTCCGTTAAATCCTCTGTATAATACTGCTTTCTCCAGCGAAAACGTCATCTTGTCTGAATCAGGAGAGAAATATGCACCGATCAAGCACTGTTTACAAGCAAAAAAGTTCTATACGTTTAAATCAAATTAAATATTTTCTACATAATATTTTAATATCTTTCTTAAAGATATTTAATCATGTTGTTGTTATTTTATTACATATTATTTTGTAATAGCATGCTTAATATATTTCTCACACAGTAAAAATGGGTCTTTAGACAATAAAGTATATTGCTGAATTTATATTTTAGGAAGTCCCTCACAAAGCAATCTGTCGTATTTGGGGTTCTTGGCTTGTACTCTAGGAGGACTTCTCTGAAAATTCTAGCACTGTTGTGTTTTTAAATGTCTAGATATGTTTTGTCAGATTAATATGAGAAGCTAATATGGAGAGTATAGACATTCTTGAATGAATTTTTAATTCTTTTGCATGATTTGTGAGTTAGCTGGGATTTTATTAGGATTTAATTTGTTTATTCGTGGCATAACTGATTCCCTCATTAGGTTGATGTGACTCTACTACATGATTTTTTTTAAGGCTGTCACTGTTCCAAAATTGTTTTAGAGGCAACACATTAAACAAGTCTTGTAACGACTTACATTCTTTCTACAACAATGAGGGCTCCTCATGAATGATACTTGAGAGAATATGTCATTAAATTAGTGTCACATTTGACAGTTAATAAGCTAAGGATGCAAAAACTCTTTTCCTTGATGCTCCTGGCATTATATCAGCTCTTTGTTTGTTATTAACAATATAGTCAATAGTAAATGTGTTTTTAAAATCTTTGTTGCATGTTGATGACATCATTTGTTGCTTGAACAGTAGATCATTGGTTCTTAACTGCTGTCATGAACCAAAAATGGTCTATAGACTGATAAATCACACGTCTGCTGTTATTCATTGACATTTTTTTTTAATTGACAGAAACTAGAAGGGGCAAAATATGAATATAATTAAATTAAATAATTATAATATATATTTTTTTAAATAATTACATTCTGAAATTTCACAACTTGCTGTTTCAAGAACTGAATGTTCTTCAGGGTTCACACTAATGAATTTACATGACTTTTCCAGTCATTCATGATTGTTTATTTATTATTTTTTATTTATTTTATTTTTTTCTCACAAGTAGCAATTTATTTAAAATAAACTATTTTACAGCTTGTGAAATATATTTCACAATATATATTTATAGATATTTTCATGACCTTTTATAAATTTCATGAAGATTTTATTAATTTCCATGACATTTTTCGAGTTTCTAGAACAGGACAAATTAAAAATAAAGAAATTAAAATGAGAAATTTGATGTCAGTTTACATCTTGAATTTTAGCTGTTTTTACTTATTTTAAAGCTGGCTTTGTCTTATTTAAAATAATTTTTAGCCATCTTGTGGTCCTTTGAAACAGTGTTATTTTAGTGTCGTTGAGATACTGTTACAGTTTTTATTATTTTGTTTTACATTTTATATTTCATTAAAAAGGTTTTTTTTTTTTAGGGTTTTACATTTTTGTGTATTACTTACTTTTTTATTTTAAATTTTTTATTAATTTAAATTTAAATTTTAGTTTAGGTACATCAGGTTAAACTAAAAGAAAATGAGAAATGTTGCCTTGGCAATGACTTTATTTCAAGTAACACACTTTTTTAAGGTTTTAGTTTTAGTAAACTATAATAACCCTGCTTTAGGAAGTGTTAAGGCCCCCTGATGGATCCCGGCCCCCTGGTTTACAATTTACAACACTGTTTTAGCTTAAAATTATTTTTGTAATTATTAGATATAATTGTCTCCTCTCCCTATTTCCTCTTCAAACAGAACGATGCTGAGAGTCTGGCCTCAAGATGTTGGAATTGGGAACTTGTTCGGTCAGCGCTCAGACCCTCTCTGACCGCAATGCCCTGGCAGTCCCGTCTTTCAATCAGGGCATGTGTGGAGGGAGCCCGCCACAGCAAAGTTTCCTCCTCCAGTCTCAGGACCCAGAGAGCTGGCTCAAGCACCGGGGAACCCTGGAGGACGGCTCCCACTCCTGTTCACTCCTGGAGCCCCAGAGCCTGGCTGACAGCTTCCTGTCCCATGCATCCAGTTTCGACACGCTCTATGTCCCCCACGCCTGTCCCATGGGTCTGGCACCATCCTCCCTGGATCTTGGAGGGTCATGCGAGGGGGCGGCCTCGTTGTGTCTGGACCCCGACATGCCCGTCAGCCCGAATATCATTAAACGGCGCAGGGGGGGACTCATTGAACAACGGGACATCATTAAAGCACACCAGGCACACAAGATCCAGAGCACCCCACAGGCCCGGCGCAAGGAATGGGAGTAAGTGGCACATGCACGCACACAGCATGCAATATAATAAGCTCTTTGCACACTTTGTAGAAACCTTCTTTCTAACTTTTATTGGTCAGACTACTTAAAGGAATACTTCACCCAGAAATGAAAATTCCATCATTTACTCCCCCTCATGCTGTTCAAGCCAGTTTGAATAATACATTTTAATAATGTTCTGGTTCACTGCCATTACCGTGAAGGGGTCTGAAGCTTTCAAGCTTCAAAAGGCACCATAAAATTATCATAAAAGTAGCCTTCTGAAGTGAGACGATAGTTTTATAAAATGGACAGACTGAAATGTTGGATATTCTTTGCTTAAAAATGTGTTCATGAGAGAAGTAGCAATGTCTGATTCACCAGCAAGAAGAATGGGGTCCCCCTCAGTAGAAATTGCGTTCGGGCCCCCTCTCCCTCGTCGGGCCCTTGGAATCATCCTAACCTGTGTGGGATTGACAGTTGTTAAACCAGGAGAAAAGTGGGCAGAAAATAAATATTTTATACACTATGAGCTTACTTGTTATCGCTGCCTTATATAGTACATGTCATAACACTGGGAAATTATAGGTGTGTTGCATCAAGCAAGATTTTCAGTACAGTCATTTGAGTGAAAGGACTATAGGAGCAGGAGAAGAGAAAAGACTCTTTCTGTAAAGAAGTAACAGCTGCAATGGCTACTTTTCATCCCATAATAATCCATGCATAGGAGATATTCTTAAAACACCTTTGTATTTGTGGTGTCATTCTTGCTGTTTAACTCTTTAAGAAGCACACTCAGAAAAAAAAAATATTCGAATTTCTTTGCATTATGAGCCTTTTTTAAATTGTTGAGATGTTCATTAATGTAAATTTTTAATAATTAATCACTTTATAAGGCGTTTATTGGCGTTTGGCAAACCAACTTTTAGGTGCATTACCAAAATATTGAATGTAAAGTTAGAACATGTTTAGATGTTAGAACTCATAATTCCTGTAAAAAAAAAAAAGTGAAGTAAAAATTTCATAAAATGGTTAACTCAACCACTTTCATCAAAAATATGTTTGAATATCAATTGTCAGCACACTTTTATGTTGAGAATATTTTAATTAATTGTTAGTCACTTGTACTTTTACACAGTTTTACTTTGATCTATTCAGCAAGCCTTCTGAAATTATATTATGTCAAATTACAAAATATTATATTTAGAGTGCAGAAAACAACAGAGGCAGCCCAAAGTACATAACCGCTGCAGCACTTGCATGAGTGTGAATGGCTAAAGGGAGTGTGGAAAGAGAAAAAGAGAGCTGTGTCCCACAGTGCTAGGCACTACTGAAATGATTACCTCTCATTTGGTTTTAAACACGGTATGAGGGCCTATAATGACCCTAACACCCCTGAGACACTCTCACAGGCTCCAGATATTCTAGATCCCGCTGAGCTGAGCAGCACATACTGTATCAGCTACTTTTTTTGCTTAAATGCACCCTAGTGCTGATGTACTGTGGGACTAATGCTTAAACAGAAATGGGAATGTCTGGGAATAATAAGCATTTTATTAGAGGAGATGGTGGAGTTACGATGAAATATCAGTGTAGTACAATAAGGCATTCCAGTGTTTGATTTGTGTAAATGAATGAAGGTCTAATGTACTGTTCCTGCGAGATAGAATACACATGGGTTTACTTACCTGTAATTTGTATATGATATGTCCTTATTTAGGAGAGGTACACATGCACCTAGCCTAATTTGATCTATCTGTTAGCCTGACAGAACAGCACTGTACATTCTGTCATTTTTTGTCAAGACTGTCAACACATAATTATGTGAATGATGTTGGATTACTGATCTTAGTTAATTTTATGTTTTTCTTCTACACAATATGGATAAAATGTTACTATACCTTTTTTTCTACCAATGCAGTGACTTTATCTGAATCAGCATTTCTCATCCATCTAGCCCTGCTGGATAATTAATACATTTCAAGCATTTAAGCATAAGCCTGTTAAGGTATTTATGCATTGATAATCATTCATATACATTAATTCACATGCATTTATGTTACCTTACATTACGAGGGCTGTCTGCAAAGTATCCAGCCATGTAATAAGAAAAATATAGACATTTATCGAAGAAGATAGAAGATACAAGAAACATTGTACATAGGACAATAACTCCTCAGTCCCCTTCAAAGTAGGCATCTTGGGACCTCACACAGTTCTGCCAGCGTCTCTTCCACTGTTCAAAACACTCTGCATAATCCTTTGTATGAACGGCCATCAGCTGCCTCGTCATATTTTCCTGAATCACATCGACTGTCTGAAATCTCTTCCCTTTCAAAGGTGATTTTCAAATGTGATCTTCTTCGATAAATGTCTCTATTTTTTATATTACATGGCTGGATACTTTCCAGACAGCCCTCGCATGTGACCTAAATGTACATTTATTTATTCATTTAGCAGGCACTTCTGTCCAAAGCAAATTACCTTTGTAATACATACATAAGTCACTCTAATATACTGTACAAACTGCATGGCCAGAAAAACGATTATCAGCAGCAGTCTCTTGCAAGCTGCATTTTCAGTCAAGTCCAGATCAGAATTTATAGCCCCCCACCCACCCCACAATCCCTCAATGCAAAAGCACAGCTGAAAATTGTAGTTTTGTAGACAAATATAAATCGTGCCTATGTAAAAATGTCTGAATTTTCATTCATTCATTAATTCATCTATACTAAACTATATTTTTAATTAATACATATTTTATATTCTATATTTTTGTTTTATTTTATTTTACTTCTATGTATTATATACATTTATTTCAATGGACAAGTGTTGTTGATAGTGTTGTTGAGAGAATTCCAGACTAGGTGCTGGATTGAGGTCAAAAGTGGTGTCTTTGTAGAAGCTTAAAGCAGCACTATGTAACTTTTTCTGTGTTCAAAATTGCAAAATGTATACAATGAGCGAGTACATCATGAATTCATCTTCCAAAACGCGTTTTTGTCTTATTCCGAATCACTACGGTACACTTATAATAAGTACTTATATTTGGACTATTGTAGCCTGGTCGGGTCGTCACCGCTGCGGAGTAACACATACCTGCGTGAATCGCCATAGACATAAACTTAGAGAAGTAGCTCCGGTTGGAACGTTCTTCCGTGGGATGTGTGCAGTTCTGTTTATTAACCGCTAGAGCGCCAAAAGTTACATAGTGCTGCTTTAAATATAACATAGTTGTATAAATATGACATGGTCACAGAATAATTCCTTCCATTGTCCATTCCATACTTTGACTGGTAGTATCAATTTAAAGTGGGCATTGCAAGAATGACTCTAAATTATGGTAGTAATGTCAAAATGTTTCTTTTTTTATGGCAAACCTTATGCATGATATGGATAAGCTTCATGTTTTTATGTCTGTGTTGTGTTCTGCGTGTTCACCCATTGCCTGTCATGATAGTATTTCAACGTGACCACAGAAAGGTTACATATGAGTCACAGCTCTCGTAAAACATAAGCCCCTGTCCTCCTTCAGCACATACGTAAAAGAGCCTGCGCTTTTCCTGTCAGCAAACAACTATTTAATATCTGTGCTTTATACAGTTAAATGTTCTGTTTTTTTTCTCCAGACACTGGAAGGACACATGCTAATTTTGTTCTTTTTAGCAGTCTCAGCCCTTAATATTAAGATGTTAAAAAGCACATTTTCCAGTGGTTTAGAAATGGGGCAGTCTTCCATCTGTTTTAGGTGCTGTCTGTGAGTGTGGTGAAAATATTTAGCACTAGCCAGATTTATGGTCTTTCATTTTCATTTTCATACACTAATGCAAAGCAGTTAATGGACAAATGGGAAGCATATAACATCTAATCTGTGATCTTAGCCCGCTTTCTGTCTTATATTTGGTCCAAATTGTTCAGAGAGACATTTAAGTGTACTAAAACCATGTTGCATGACTCTGTTGTGTGTGTATGAATGTGCTGTGTGACTGCGTGGGAGTCTCTGTTCTGTTGTTAAGTAACAGACAGGAAAAAGACAAAGCCTGGGAAAAAAATTGCTGTCACAAGTGCACAATATCATTTGTCATTTCTCACACATAGAGAGACAATGGCGCTTCGCAATATGTCTTGCGCTGGGCTATTATCGCCAATGTCTCTACAGATGCCTAATGGTTTGTTGATGCTCGCCTGGGTTGCGTGATTAAGCACTGTCAGGATAACCCAGCACATGACGGTAGACAATAGCGCCGGTGCAGTCAAGAGTGACACAGTGTTTTCATCTCCCATCCGACTTCACTGTATTTAAAGAGGCACAGGTCAAAGGCATCGTCATGGCAACCTCGTCGCTGATTGCGCCAAAATCAAAAATCTCGAAAAGTGGCTGGAGCGGATCCTCGAGCCACCCGTCCCCATTGCCTCCTTTCAAGATCTAATTAAACCTCTCACGCAAACTGAACTTTGACCCTCTAGCTTTCTGTGAAACCCGGGCGGCTTTGAACACACTTTACCCAGGCCTTTTCATGCAAGCATATCAGAATGCAACATATATGCTTGATCACTGGAGTAATTGAAGCAGCATAATAATGTCACCATTTAATGACACTGTATGGTTTATAAATATAAAGAGTAATAATAATAATAATAATAATAATTATTATTATTATATTTATTGTCTGTAGATAATAGGTAGGTCTGGTGTCACAGATTTGATCTTCAGTTTTGGGAATTATTTTATTTTATTTATTTTTTTAAATGAAGATGCATTGTTATTTTGTTGTTCATATAGTTGTTTTGGTGGTTAATGGGGAATATTCACATGCCTGGAGAAAGAAAAAAAAATGCAGGCATCCTAGAAAAGGATATTTTCTTTACTAGATGGTTTGTGTTACACTATTGAGAGTCAGATTATCTGTTTTACAATCACATGTATTTACATGTATTTGTTACAGTTCCTTATGAGGTTATATATATATATATATATATATATATATTCCAAAGCCAGTTTTTACTCCCAT